TCAACGAAGCTGCCATGTGTTTGTTGAGTCCACATCAATGTAAGTTAACCTGACTGCTAATATATGATGTGATGCTGTATTTGAACCTGTAGAGATTAGACCTTCATCTGATTTGATATATTTTGATAGAGAATGCCATTAATTATCTTGTTTACTGATTATTGATGATTGACCAATCATCTTTGATATCCATATTTCTATTGATGGTGATGGTATTGATTCCATTTTTTACATTGTTACTGAAACCTATTATTTGTTCCTGTCTAAAACCATGTGCGTGGCAACCTTAACTTTGGGAATTTGAGAAAAATAAAACCCCTCAACGCAGAAACTGTTTCCTGATGGTGTGTGGCTCCAGTTTGAACTTTATAACCAACAGAGTGAAACATTTCAAACATTTATTTCTTGAAATTTTGATAATTGTGGCTTATAGATAATGAAAACCCAAAATGCAGTGTCTCAAAAAATTAGAATCTTGTGAAAAAGTTCAATCTGGGAAAGTCATGGTGTCACACCCTAATCAACTAATTAACTCAAAACACCTGCAAAGGTATCCTGAGCCTTTAAATGGTCTCTCAGTCTGGGTCAGATGGCTACACAATCATGGGAAAGACTGCTGACTTGACAGATGTCCAGAAGACAATCATTGACACCCTGGCTGTTCACAGAGTGCTGTATCCAAGCATATTAATGGAAAGTTGAGTGGAAGGAAAAAGTGTGGTACAAAAAGGTGCACCAGCAAAAGGGATAACCGCAGCCTTGAGAGGATTGTCAAGCAACATCCATTTAAGAATTTGGGGGAACTTCACAAGCAGTGGACTGAAGCTGGAGTTAGCGCATCAAGAGCCACTACACACAGATAATCCTAGACATGGACGTGTCAAGCCACTCCTGAACTAGAGACAATGTCAGAAGCGTCTTACCTGGGTTAAGGAGAAAAAGGACTGGACTGTTGCTCAGTGGTCCACAGTCCTCTTTTCAGATGAAAGCAAATTTAGCATTGCATTTGGAAATAAAGGTCCCAGGGTCTGGAGGAAGAGTGGAGAGGCACAGAATCCATGTTGCTTGAAGTCTAGTGTGAAGTTTCCACAGTCAGTGATGATTTGGGGAGCCATTTCATCTGCTGGTGTTGGTCTACTGTGTTTTCTGAAGTGCACAGTCAACACAGCCATCTACCAGGACATTTTAGAGCACTTCATGTTTCCTTCTGCTGACAAGCTTTATGGGGATACCAATTTCATTTTCCAGCAGGACTTGGCACCTGCCCACACGGCCAAAGGTACCAAAAGCTGGTTCAATGATCATGGTGTTACTGTGCTTGATTGGCCAGAAAACTCACCTGATCTGAACCCCATAGAGAATCTGTGGGGTATTGTCAAGAGGAAGATGAGACACCAGACCCAACAATGCAGATGACCTGAAGGCTGCCATCAAAGCAACCTGGGCTTCCATTACACCTGAGTAGTGCCACACGCAGATGGCTTCCATGCCACGCCACATTGATGCAGTAATTCATGCAAAAGGAGGCCCAACCAAGTATTGAGTGCATGGAAATGAATACTTTTCAGAAGCCTGACATTTCTGTTTAAAATATCATTTGATATTTGAAATATCATCATATCATTGATCTTATGTAATACTCTAATTTTCTGAGACACTGCATTTTGGGTTTTCATTATCTTTAAGCCACAATCATCAAAATTCCAATAAATAAATGTTTGAAATGTTTCACTCTGTGTAATGAATCTATATAATATATGGGTTTCACATTCTGAAATGGGTGACAAAAAATGTTGAACTTTTTTATGTTATTCAATTTTTTTGAGATGTACCTGTATATTTTGTCAAAGTCCCAGAAAGTGTCAATCATAGAAACATGAACCACTAATAATTTTAAAAATGGACTTGAGCACAAACCAGTCTTGCAATAACTACATGTCAACATCACAACCAGGAGGAGAAAAAAAATTTGATTATGTAATTAATTTCTTAAGTTTGTCCACAGCTCCATTTATTTTGCTGGACGTGGCAGGGTTTATGACCCTTACTGCAACCAGCCACTGGGGGATGCTGTTCTCAGAGGCTTCACCCAGCAACGGGGCAGATGACATCCATTCTATATACAGCCCTATGGAGGACGGAATGGAGACAGAATGAAATACATTAATACATCTTTAAATATTTAAAGGGATATTACAGTTTAAAATTAAGGGTTAGGGTCAAACAACCCGCAACACTGAGTTAGACACCCCCTCGAGAGATGAATGTTGCCAACTAATTGCTTCTCTAGTTATACCAACTTTAGTAATGACAGCTAAAGCCACTCTATAGCCACAAATAATGCTCAGAACAGCACCTAACTTCATCAACAGTACATATAGGGTCCCAGCCACAGCACTAGCCACCAAACATCTTTTTAGCTTTGCCTATTTTTTTTAGTAAAGAGACTAAACACAACTCACCCACTCTCCTCCGCTGGAGTTTCACAGCTCAAGGAAGAACATTAATGATTATTACTTCATGGAAATGCAATCAGACTAAGACGCAAAGGCAGAAAAACGAACGCACCTGCATTGCAAATTATCATTGAGATGATTATTACTTCAAGAAAATGATCCGCTGCACTCGGTGATGGACTCCTCAGGGCTCCCCTAACGAGTCCCCTGTTTGGTGGCTAGTACTATGGCTGGGACCCTTTATGTACTGTTGATGAAGTTCGGTGCTGCTCTGAGCATTAATTTGTGGCTATAGAGTGGTGTTTTGGTTGAGGTTTGCGCGTGGAGTCGTACACCACTGTGTATTGCTATCGTGTGGTTGTTACTAAAGTTGGTATAACTAAAGAAGCAAGCAGTCGGCAACATTCTCTCCAGGGGGTGTCTAACTCGGCATTAGGTTGTGTTTGACCCTGACTTAATTTAACAGTGGAATATCCCTTTCACTGTGTCATCAATTAATTAAAATGGGTATTAAATACATGTGTCATTAAATGTGTCATTAATTTATTAAAATACCAGTTCATTCAATGTAAAAACGTACATAATTTTTTCACTACATAATTATTTCATGGACCTGTGTCACAGTGCTTCATGAATTTATTTTATCTGTCAAACTCATGAAAGATTAAAAATGCCTGGAAGGTATTAAAATAGGAACACTGGAAGAGGTAAAAATGCTTTTAAAAATGGGTTAAAGAAAACTTTCATCTTTGAAATATTCATTGAAATTCACGTTAGGGAAGTTTATCTGTGATCAGCTAATTCAAGTCTCCAAGAGATGATGTTGATGAGTGAATTATACCTGCCACGACCTGAGGGGGAAGCTCTAACCACTATGCTTCATTCTCAGGAAGCCAGGCAGGTACTTAATTATCATAATAAGAGCAGTTCCTATTCTTTATAGATAAGGAAAGAAGCTTCATGGCTTCCTTTGTAACCTCTTTTAAAAAAGGACAAACTAGATTCTCCCTCAAGACAAGAGAGAAGGAAAAACACTCATAATCCTCTGCTCAAACTGTGGGTTTTTAAAGTGATCCACACTGCTGCTTTATCAGCCCCGTCAGCGCTTCAGTTCGTTTCAATAGAGGGTTGGTTAGCACCATTTAGTGGTCTGATAGTAGAACTACATCCTGTGATATGACTGGGTTTCTGGTTAGACTAGTTTTAATGCTAAAGTTATGAGGATGTGACGGTGTCCTCATATCAAATGCTCACAGACGCCAGGACCGATGAGGGACAAACCAGCAGCTTCTTCTCTCCTCACATGAAGGTGGAAAGTGTCTGTAAGCTGACCTGAACTCACTTCAACAGGTGAGGATCCTTCCAAAGGAATCTCATCATGTCTGGGATCTTGATCAGTGTTCTCACATGATACTGGATTACTGCTAAACTGTAAAAATCTTTCTTGATGCTGATTGGCTGTTTGAAACATGTTGTTGAATTTCTCTGAGTTAAAGAGCAGTGCTTTCAGACAGATCCACCTGCTCTATAGTTGGTGTTTGTAGAGTCGACTCAGCGACAGTTTGACAGTAATCTGAGTCACACAATCAGATAAAATGCAGGGAGTGTCAGAAGTGGTTTGACAGCCTGGACCAGTTTGGGTCAGGTGCTTTTATTTTGAAATTGTTGATACTCTGAGGCGAAGGGTTCAGATGTCAGATCACCTCTGACACTGAGACTGGCTTAGTTTAACTGGAGACATAGCAGGGTCCACGTCTCAATGGTCCTAGAGTTTTTAGATCATTTTAGATGTACCAGGGTCAGCCCAGGGTGGAAGTGGACTCAGTGTTTTATTGAGACCCTCAGCTGTGAGGGGCCCCTATGAGACACAAAATGAGACATTCTATGTCAATGTTTGATATTTGTCTTAATTTGAAACTTTAAAATTGAAACAAACGATTTTTTTCCCATCAAACTAATCAAATATGTTGATTTAAAGACACTTTTTACTTTTACTCATTTTAACAATAATGTTTATGTGTTAGATTATTGAATTTATATATTGAATTTCCCTTCAGGGATTAATAAAGTTCTTCTTATTCTTATGAAAGAGTCTGGGGGCTGTAACTCATTCTAGATTCATGAGATCCTGTTTGAGACTCCAACAAGGTTTCTGTCAGTCCTGAATATTGTGTCATGTTATTGAGAGGAATGAGACCTGAAGTGTCCTGTGGGGTAGAGCTTGTTGTATTGACTGAGCATGTTATTGTGTTTGTGTTAAGGTGGGGGCTCTGCTATGAATCAGTGTGAGGACAGAGAGGAGGGAGCCCCTCCCTCTAAAACCACTCTGTGGGGGGGACATGAGAGCCAGACCAAAGCTCAGAGGTGAGATGAGGATCTCCAATTGTCTCCACCATCACTATTATTCACAATCAACCTGTCTGTCTGTCTGTCTGTCTGTCTGTCTGTCTGTCTGTCTGTCAAAGACCTCAACAAGGGGAAAGACCAGACTCTTCTGGACCTGGACCTGCTCCCAGCTGTCTGTCCTTAAAGAGTGACTGGTCTATGGGTCGATTGATTGATCTCAAAGATGGACATCAGTCTGATCGTCAAAAGTAATAATCTATAACAGCAGCACTCAAACCTGAAAGATTGTCAGTGTTCTTGTTTCTTCATCAGTGTTTGTGTTTCTGTCAGAGTCAAACATGAGAGACCAGACTCTTCTGGACCTGGACCCAGCTGTGTGTCCTTAAAGAGTGACCGGTCTGTGTTCAGATCAATTCTTTTCAGTGAAGGAGAGATTTGTGATGAGCAAAGGTGAGACTTTCAAACTGATCTTTTGTTGTGTGTGAAACTTTTCATCCTAACTGTGGTCAGTGTTTTCTCTGTGAAGGTGAAGATTTTTCAGGGTTTGTGTTTCTATCAGGATCCAATAGCAGCAGTAAACAGGATCTGAGCCAGAAAGAACTGGACTCTGCATGTATCATCATGTGTGTACTGTGTTTGTAGGAGGATCCAGCAGTGTTTCTACCAGAATCCACTAGATAGACTCTATCACATGTAACCCTATGTCTCCTTATATCATATCCACGACATTAGTTTGTTCCACAGAGTGCAACAGCAAAGATCAGAGGTTCCCAATGGTCAGTCTGCCCAGCAGCATCAAACACAGCTGGACTCCATATTTATGGTATGTGTAAATGTACAAACACAGCTCCTACTGATCATCAGAGCAGACACTCAGTGTATTTGGAGGTTTCTGGATTGTTTTCTAATGACACTGCACACATCATCTCTGCCTGAATTATCTTCACACTCATAGTTTGACTGATTGAATGAAGCCTTACATTTATGACCTGCACAGAGTCAGAGGTCAGAGATCACGGTGGATGGTGGTCTCACACAGACTCTGACTTTGGCAGTAGAGAGCAGAGTTCACAAACTGAGTCCAGTTTGAGGTTTAAAGAACAGAAAGACTTTGGTTCATGTCAATGACAGCTGCTGCTTTCAGCTTCATTCTAATAAACACATCACCTCTAAAGTCACTGCAGACCTTTTCTCCATTAAACCACACCAGGAGATTTCTCCAATATGAAGTTCATAGAAGCTGGATTTGTAGAAGACTGGACCATACACAAAGTCAGTCCTGAAGCAGCATTGTGATCCCGTCTCCGTGCAGACCAGGAGGCTTTCTGTCTGTCACAGATGATCTGATGTTCAGTTCTACAAATTCAAGTTTACATTTTGTTCTGTTCCAGCTGCTCCAGGAGAACATGATCAGCTTTGTAAAGGAGCAGCTGAAGGAGATCCAGAGAGCTCTGAGTCCAGATGAGCCAGAATGCTTAGAGAGTCAGAGGGAGGATGAGGATGAAGAGCAGAAGAGGAGCAGAGAGGCATTTCTGAAGATCACTGTGAACTTCCTGAAGAGAATGAAGCAGGAGGAGCTGGCTGACTCTCTGCAGAGCAGTAAGAGGAATTGAAGAGATTTAACATGATGAAAAGAGGAAATGGAGACAACATGAGAGAGGTTTACAGTTCAGACTCTGCTGTTCATATGATGCACACATTTGTATCACATCTATGAACTAAGAGAAACTGATCACAGCTGATGAGCTGAAGAGATTTCAGAGAGGAGGGAAATCAAATCCATCCTGATGTTTTCAAGTGTAAATTCATCAGACTGATTGTAGCTTCAGATTATTCATCACATTTCTTTTTGTTCATTCAGGATCTGCTGCTGCAAAGTGCCGACACAAACTCAAGTCCAACCTGAAGGAGAAGTTCCAGTGTGTGTTTGAGGGGATAGCTAAAGCAGGAAACCCAACCCTTCTGAACCAGATCTACACAGACCTCTTCATCACAGAGGGAGGGACTGGAGAGGTCAACGATGAACATGAGGTCAGACAGATTGAAACAGCATCCAGGAGAGCAGAGCGACCAGAAACCACCATCAGACAAGAAGACATCTTTAAAGGCTTACCTGGAAGACAGGAACCAATCAGAACAGTGATGACAAAGGGAGTGGCTGGCATTGGGAAAACCGTCTTAACACAGAAGTGGACTCTGGACTGGGCTGAAGACAAAGCCAACCAGGACATCCACTTCACATTTCCATTCACCTTTAGAGAGCTGAATATGCTGAAAGAGAAAAAGTTCAGCTTGGTGGGTCTTATTCATCACTTCTTCACTCAAACCAAAGAAGCAAGAATCTGCAGCTTTCAACACTTCCAGGTCGTCTTCATCTTTGACGGTCTTGACGAGTGTCGACTTCCTCTGGACTTCCACAACAATCAGGTCCTGACGGATGTTACAGAGTCCAGCTCAGTGGATGTGCTGCTGACAAACCTCATCAGGGGGAACCTGCTTCCCTCTGCTCGCCTCTGGATAACCACTAGACCTGCAGCAGCCAATCAGATCCCTCCTGAGTGTGTTGACATGGTAACAGAGGTCAGAGGGTTTACTGACCCTCAGAAGGAAGAATATTTCAGGAAGAGATTCAGAGATGAGGAGCAGGCCAGCAGAATCATCTCCCACATCAAGACATCCAGAAGTCTACACATCATGTGCCACATTCCGGTCTTCTGCTGGATCACTGCTACAGTTCTGGAGGATCTGCTGAAGACCAGAGAGGGAGGAGAGCTGCCCAAGACCCTGACTGAGATGTATATCCACTTCCTTGTGATTCAGTCCAAACTGAGGAACATCAAGTATGATGGAGGAGCAGAGACGGATCCACTCTGGATTTCAGAGAGCAGGAAGATGATTGAGTCTCTGGGAAAACTGGCTTTTGAGCATCTGCAGAAAGGAAACCTGATCTTCTATGAATCAGACCTGACTCAGTGTGGCATTGATATCAGAGCAGCCTCGGTGTACTCAGGAGTGTTCACACAGATTTTTAGAGAGGAGAGAGGACAGTACCAGGACAAGGTGTTCTGCTTCATCCATCTGAGTGTTCAGGAGTTTCTGGCTGCTCTTCATGTCCATCTGACCTTTACCAATTCTAGAGTTAACCTGATTAAACAAGAACAACAAACAATACCCTCAATCTCTAAAATCTTCAGTGTCAAACAAAATCTGACACATCTCCACCAGAGTGCTGTAGACAAGGCCTTACAGAGTCTGAATGGACACCTGGATTTATTTCTACGTTTCCTCCTGGGTCTTTCTCTGCCAACCAATCAGAATCTCCTGAGAGGTCTGCTGTCACACACAGGAAGTAGCTCACAGACCAATCAGAAAACAGCCCAGGACATCAAGGAGAAGATCAGTGAGGATCTGTCTGCAGAAAAAAGCATAAATCTGTTCCACTGTCTGAATGAACTGAATGATAGTTCTCTAGTGGAGGAGATCCAACAGTTCCTAAGATCAGGACGTCTCTCCACAGAAAAACTGTCTCCTGCTCAGTGGTCAGCTCTGGTCTTCATCTTATTGTCATCAGAAAAAGATCTGGACGTGTTTGACCTGAAGAAATACTCTGCTTCAGAGGAGGGTCTTCTGAGGCTGCTGCCAGTGGTCAAAGCCTCCAACAAAGCTCTGTAGGTGGACATGTGAGAGATGAAACATTATTGTTCATGAGAGATGAAACACTGTGTTTGCGCTAATCACTGATTCTTCTTCAGGCTAAGTGGATGTAACCTGTCAAAGAGAAACTGTGAAGCTCTGTCCTCAGTCCTCAGCTCCCAGCCCTCTAGTCTGAGAGAGCTGGACCTGAGTAACAATGACCTGCAGGATTCAGGAGTGAAGCTGCTTTCTGTTGGACTGAGGAGTCCTCACTGTAAACTGGAAACTCTCAGGTCAGGTTTTCTGCTGATTGAGTTTTGAAGTTGATTTAGTGAACTTGTCAAAAGCTGGTACACTTTTCCTTGTTTCATAATTTTTTTCTGACTTCAGGTTATCAGGCTGCCAGATCACAGAAGAAGGTTGTGCTTCTCTGGCCTCAGGTCTGAGCTCAAACCCCTCACACCTGAGAGAGCTGGACCTGAGTAACAATGACCTGCAGGATTCAGGAGTGAAGCTGCTGTCTGCTGGACTGAAGGGTCTTCACTGTAAACTGGAAACTCTCAGGTCAGGTTTTCTGCTGATTGGGTTTTGTACCTGTTTGAATTTAAATAGTCTAAAGTTGGTACACTTTTCCTTGTTTCATAATTTTTTTCTAACTGCAGGTTATCAGGCTGTCTGATCACAGATGAAGGTTGTGCTTCTCTGGCCTCAGCTCTGAGCTCCAACCCCTCACACCTGAGAGAGCTGGACCTTAGCTACAATCATCCAGGAGATGCCGGAGCAAAACTGCTTTCTGCTGGACTGGAGGATCCTCTATGGAGACTGGATACACTGAGGTACAACCAGCCTCCTTCCTTCCTCTTAGTGTAGAGCCTCAGGGTTCTGGATTTAGAGTGAAAAGCTCAATTTGAGCATTCTGAGGAGCATTCTTATCTTGATGTCAGTCGTCTCTATATCTTCCTTTGGCCAGGCTATAATGCCAGCAGGGTACCTGGTCACTGGCAGGGTGTAGGTGTTGATGGCTTGGATCTTGTTCTAGCTGACATACAGCTTGATGTCATCCATGTAGGGGAGGACATTAATTGAAAAAAAAAACTCAAACAATTCATGAGATGACTTTGAATCAGACTGATATGTGTCTGTCATTCTGTCTCCTCCTCCTCCACACAATTACAGCAGCTATTTGTCTACAACACTGGCTGAACCGTAGGTTTGTCTTACAGTCCTCTGCTCAACAACTTTCAGTTTTCTTCTAAGAGTTTTCATGTTGTCCTGAACTGCAGATCTTGTCTCCCTGCCTCTGGTCTCAAAGGAGGATGTAGTGGTTGATATTTTGAAGGACAGGAATTGGAAACCTTTTGAATATGAAGAACCATTTTTAAATGCTCTTAATAGAGGACCACATGGGCCACAGACATTAAATGTCTCCTGGTCTCCTGTTGTGGCATTTTTCATCAAGCATAAATCGGTCCCAGAGGTCCCACAATAGTAAATCAGAAATTTGTTGTCTAAAACACCAGTTTATTTGTGGATATCAGCCAGCCAATCAGTTTGAAAATGCAGTTTTAAAAAAGAAAAATAAAAGTCTTTTAGCTTTCCATTCCCACACTTTGGGCCTTGAGCTGGTAAAATCAGGTAAAACAATGCAGATGAGCCATTAAACAAGCTCTCTGATTGGTTATAACCTGACCTATTACATGCAAATGTCTGCAGGGAGGTGAAGATGATGAGGGATGAGGAAGAATAGACCTTATCCAGTATTCCAGGTGGAAAGAGGTCCAAACCTGGATATTCTGACACTGTGGTCATTTAAAAGCTACCTGACTGATCAACAGACACACAGACTATAAACAGAGATGATCAGGAGAGAGATGGGCTCATATATGAAGTTCAAAACACATTTGACAGTCCTTTAGCCCACGTCAGATGCTTCATTACATCTGATGTCACAAGATGAAGGTTCACATCTAGTTTAATGATCAGAGCAGAACAACATTCAGAACTCCTCCAGATCCTTTTTCATTTATCCATACAGACCAGGATCAACTCTCCTGGCTGATATGGGAATGTCCTCTCTTCTTGATTTTCTGCTCTCTTTGTTTGGTGAGCCATCAAACAAACCCTCAGAGCTACAGAGAAACACTTCCTTCATACATCCACCCTCAGTCAGAAACATGGACTCAGAGCACTGGCTGCATAAGTGGGTTCAAATGAGATTAAATAGTCCTCATTGAGTTTCATCAGCTGAGCTCTACTGCTTTACTGGCATAGCTACATTCAGTGAGAGCAGCAGCAGACCTATCAGTCATGATCAGATAAGCTGAGGGGCTGTTTGAGGACATGCACTGACTTTGCTCCACTTCCTGTCCATCCCAAACTGCAGGAAATCCACCTGCTGTTACAAGTATGGTGCTTCTACTCCCTCTGCTCAAGCTGACTCCGAATGATCCAAGAAGAGCCTCACACACTCACATGAGTTCATCTGAGAGCTTTCATTTCATCTTCATTCATATTTAGAAGAAAAGAGCCCACTTCATCTCTATCTGCAGACAAGGTTTCAAGTATATTTAGAAGGAGCTTTTAGACAAAAGCATTGACAGCTGTCCTAAAAGAAGAAATTAATTTCTTTTTCAAATCAAGTCTCCATGTTGTTGGACAGACCAACAGCCAGCCTTTGCTGTTTGAATCTTGTTGGGTTTTTTTCTTGGAGTTTCTGTCAGAGAGACTTAGAAAGTGACAGAGTGATGGAGACTGTTGGCTCAGATGAGTTTCAGCCTGTTTCTCTGTCACAGGGACAAACTGAGGAACTCTGCTTCATGTTGGACAGTAGGTAGGACTCATGTTGGACACTCAATCATTCTGACTGTGTTTCTTCCTCCAGGGTGGACCATGGTGGAGAGCAATGGTTAAAACCTGGTCTGAAGAAGTGTAAGTGTGGAATCAGTTTGACTCATGATAGAATAGAATAGAATAGAATAGA